GGGGGGGGGGGGGGGTTCCAGATATTTCCAGGATTGAGATGTTTTGATGACAGTGATATTGGAGGGACAAAGAGACAGGAATTTTAAAATCTGGGGATGGGCAGCATAAGAGATAGAGCCATGAGAAAGAGTAGAAATGAAGTATATAATTCCTCGCTATGAAATTCCATGGGGTTATAGGATATATTAAAAAGATGATCATGCCATTTCTCATCAATGCATTACGAATATTTAATTTTGTTTTCAATCTTATTTTTTACTTTAACAAACTTTCAGTTGAGCAAACCTTCATAAGAACCAAATAAATTGGCACAAAAAAGGCTTGTCTCATGAAACAATTCTGGAAAACTTTATGCTCTTCTGATCAATGCTAATAAAGAATAACCCAAACATGCATTTTTTGGATTTTTTTTCTCAAGAAACAGTACAGCTATCCCTCTGGTTTTTGTTGTTGTTCAGCATCTATTGTAAATATATGAGTCATTAAATCTTTATGAGCATTATATTACTGTATTATTGTATTTCTGGGGCCCCTGTTTTGTTTGATTTGTGTTGTTTATAAGATCATTTTAGTCTGGGCTCCCTGTGTGGTTTGATGTTTTATTGTTTCAATGGATGTTTGGTTTTGTACACCACCCAGAGTCCATTGGAGTTGGGTGGCTAATAAATTTGAATAAAATAAATAAATAAAATATTTTCTTATACCTGAACCTATCAGGTTTAGAATTGCCAGCAGTAGTATGTTGATTCTCTGCCTATATGATCATGCCACAATTGCTGAGAAATAGCATTTTTCTGCTATTCCAGCACTAGGATGAATTTTCAGTTTTTATATACGTGCACAAATGGCATCAATCCTTATTTGTTTCTTCAACCCAGCAGTCCTAGAGAGAAGCCTCACTGTATCTTGAAATCGTAAGAACACCATGCAGAACTTAAATTTAATCTCTTCAACTTCCTCCTACATTTAATTTTAAAACTACAACTAAATAAATTTCCTAAAGGTTTTAGCATCAGCCACTTTTGTTGATTATTTTGCCAATGAATAGTTTTCATACCATTAGGACTTTTAAATTGGCCAAATAAAGTTATTAGGCCCAGGTAGATGGTAGGAGCTAGCCTACTTTGGCTGATTTTTAAAAGCCAAGCAGCCTCAGACCTGGTTTGTGCCTGGATGGGAAATCAACAGAAACTACCAGGGCTATGAGGTAGACTGTGAAGTCAAAATAACATTGTAGAAGGCAGCAGCAAACCACTTCCATACTGTTGTCAAAGAAAACACATGTCAACTTGAAAGATTTATTTCATTAAAACAAAATAATTGCCTAAGCAATTTTTAAAATTTTGCTAAGCAAAATTTGATGTGGTAGGCCTAGTGTTGGCTGACCTTTGTCTTTTAATTCTGTGGATTAAGTTGTAAGAATTGGGAGGGACAAACATGTTGCCCTTTAAATATTCTAAACTACAGTTCTATCCCTGCTACTTCCTACACATGGGATTGTTTGGTAGTAAATTGTTTGGTACTGACTTCCTGTAGTTAGCTGTACCATGCAATCAGGGATAAGAAGTTAACAGAGGATTAATTCTCTCTACCTCCTGCTGGCATCAAGACAAATTGGTCATTTCTAGGATCTTCATTTCTCTGTTAATTTTACTTTTTGCCTGCAAAGCCACATGGGATGGTAAAAAAGGAGCAAAATCACTCCATCTGTAGTAGTGCTGATCCTGATCAGGCTGCCAAAGATCTTAATTTTTTTTCACACAAATAATTTTTTAAAGAAAGGAAGTGACAGCATCATCTGGGAGGTTATAACAAAGACCACATTCCATATGACTGGGAGATGTGTAGTTTTGTGTTGCTCCTGTGTGGGGATGAGAATTTCCCTCCTCAGTACAGCGAATCAGGTCAGCCATGAGCAGTCCCAATTCCCTCCAAGGTTTATCACTAAAGTATAACTCTTAATGTGGTAGAAGAAGAACATTAGTAAATGCATAGACAGTACTCTCATTAACTGTGTTATATATAATCAAATATACTTTTTGCTTTGTCCCACACACCTGATTATCCTTGCCCTGATCATTTTGGAATGTGCTCTTCCATCTGAGAAAAGTTCTATGCTCCTGATACAAAACACACGTTCCATCACTGAGTTCTGAAGCTCATGCTGTCAATGATAGTTCCATCTCTGCTTCCTCCTTCAAAATGGAGTTTTGTGTGGGCATCTGATTGGTTTCAGGCAATCTACCGACAGACCTAGCCGGAAAGATAGTCATGGCCCAGTTTTGTTATTGTTGCCTGATGGATGAAACTAGTTGTTCAATCCATTTTAGTGCCATTCCCCATTAACCTCCTTCTTCCATGGTTACTGGGAATGTCATACGTTTATCCAAAGAAGCCTTAATTGCTGCTGAGTTGGGCCTTCCACTAATTGTAGAGCAGCCCAATTACATAATTTGCAGACAGATGACACTGCTAGATAATGTTGGTATTCAGCTCATGAAAACAACAGATTTTCTGTCCCCCCACCCCCCATGATCCCAGGATCATATTTGAGAAGTTTGGGGAGGAGCTGTTGTCAAAAAGCATTCACTCTATTACTGAACAAGTAAAAGGTCCAAAGTTTAGTTTCCCACATACACACCTAAAGCAGGGTGGATCACCTGTGGCTTGCTTGCAGCTCCTTGTTTATATTTGGGACTCTGAAGCCTCCCCGTATAACCTGCCTTAAAAGGCTCACTGATGCCTACTTTGTAATGCTTTGGGCATTTGGTAAAGGATTTTTGTTGTCCTTGGTATTGTAGTACATCAGTGTGGTGCTAGTTGCTTGCCAACTGTTGTCCTTTGTTGTTTTGGTTTCATTCTGTGGTTTTTCACTAGTTTGTTTTTAATTGGGGCAGGCAACGTGAAGCTCCATAGTCACATGTGTTCCAGAATCATTCTGATTACAGTTGCTGAAAATTAGTACTCAATTCCTTGCCATTTTGAAGTGGATTTATATGAAAGCTGTAAGATCTACACTTGATAACAAGAGTGTTAGAAAAATTGACTCTTCTATTTGTTTAACTTCAGCTCCAAGAAACAGCACTAGCTGAATCCATGACACAGTCCTGCCCATTTTGCCTGATTGCTGTGTCCCTGTGACCTTTGGCCACTAAAGGTTTGTTCCCCAGTCTTAGATTTTAATTTGTGTTCTGTTTTCATATTTGTGTGCATTATGATCTTGACTTCTCCTTGGTGAACTTTGGCAATTGGGCAACAGAGAATTTAATGCAGCAAGTTTGGTCAAATAAGCTGTCTCCTAATCTATAGTAAAAAGCAGTTCCATACATTTATTTAATGCTCATTAGCCTCTCACCCCTTTGAATAATGTTTTTTCAATGCAGGAATCCTGCATTCATATGTCAGAAAAAACAACCATTTGATTTTAACTTGTTTAATGATTCCTGCATCTCTATTTCTCTCTAAACAGAATATGAAAATATAGAGCTTAATGGGTCATATTCTGATCAGATCTTGTACGTGAAATAAAATATTAAGTGCACAAAATATTACTGAAAGGCCAAGTGAAACCCATTCACACCTGCTCTCTGGCCTACTTAGCTGTAATTTTGTTCAAAAATATTATTAATGTCATTCAATTAGAAGTGCAATAAAAACATTTGCTTTGACGTCATTTCTGAATATTCTTGAATTATAGAGGGGGATGTAGACTGGAGCAGTTATATAGATCTTTTCAGAAAAACAAACAAAACATAAAACTAGAATCTTAGATTAGGCAAAACCCCATTCCCTAGTACTTCCATGCCTGACAAAAGGGACCGTATGAGTTCACAAGCAACAAAAAAGAAGGAAGCCACAAAGGAGTAAAGTCTTGAATTGAACATGGTTACAAAGTGTTATTAATCATCGCCTAGAGACCATATTCCAGAGTGCCTGATCTTTACAATTTCTACTGGTATTTGCTTTCATATTGTTGCTATATACCATCAGTCCGCCCTGGTAGCATACTGACAATGTATAGTAGGGTTGACTAATCTTGTAGAAGGAGCTTCAAAGCTAAAATTTATTTTAAATAGTGTATTATACCTCCAAATAGTCATTTAGGAAATATTGTTTGTAAAAAGAAAATTAAATGTAGCTAATATTTTGCTGAATCCTTAATTTTAGAATCATATATACCAGAACTTTCTCAAGCTGGCTGGGAATTCTGAGGTTGCAGTCCTAACTTATCTGGAATGTGCCATGTAGGGGAAGACTGTTATAAACTAATAATAATTTATATTCACCAAAGATCAACTTTTATAATGCCAAAATGGAATCAACTATACACAAAATGCTTAGCTAGCTGATAGCATCTAGCCAACCTTAACTGATCTCAAAGAAAAGAGAGGGTGTTAAGAGCTTACTGTATATTTATTTATTTTTATTTATTTATCACATTTGTATAGCTGCCCATCTCATGTAGCGACTCTACGTATATGAGAGACCACCATGGAATACCCGGGATGCACACTAGACTGGGAAGCTGAAAACACATTCTGGAGGAAATCAGACCACTTCTGCATTGCTATCATGAAAACTACATGGATGTGTCCATGACATCACCAAGGTTTATGAAGGTTTTATCTTTTACATACAAGACAGAAATATCAGCAATTTCTCAGCTGTTGAGTACATGTGCCATCAATCCCTCCTCTCAGCACAAAAATGTTATAATAAAATTGCTAGTTGTATAATAAAATTGGTTACCTACAATACCAATCCCTGATTCTGTTGTATCCCTGTCAAACTGTATTGTCTTGATTTATGGATGTGCTAGATGCTCTAGCCAACTTGACTGTTTTTTTCTCTAGCACTGTGGCAGCCACCTTCTACATGTTACCAGTCCAGAGGAAAACATCCACGAGTCAGGGCACTTTAGCATGAAAGGAGTGAGTTGATATTACTGCATAGTCCCAAGACTCCACCTGGGCTTCTGTAGGCTTGTCTGTCTGTCCTTCTTTCCACACCCCATCTGGATATCTCACAAGTTCAGAATAATGTGAAATAAAGAAAACATATTGAAAAATGGCTCCCAATCATAAGCATTTTATATACTGCTAAATGAACTGAGCAACTCCAAACAGATTCTGATTTGCCAATGTAATTTGAAAGGACACATGAGGGCAGAAAGAGGAAGGAAATAGATGGCTGCTGGGCAACCAGCTCTCCTACAATGGCAGGGTAAATATTTGAAACTGACAACTAGCAATGTGACTAACTACAGTGACCGTGCCCTTGTCACTACTCACCTAGATTACTGCAACCCACTCTACATGGGACTGCCTCTAGAGACCACTCAGAAACTTTTGTTGTTCCAAAGCATAGTGGCCTAAGCATTATCTGGCACTTACATGAGGTAGCACATTATGCCTGTTCTACAGGCTCTTGGCTTCCAGCTGCAATTTAAAGTGCTGGTGTTAACCTATAAAGCCCTTTATGGATTGGCATCAAGTTACCTTCTTGCGTGCTGGGACTAGCAGCAGGTGATTCCCCACTTAGGGAGATGTGGGGAATTGAGGCACAGAAGCACTGCTTTTCTGTAGCAGTAGAAAGGCCTTCCATCAGAATGTAGGTTAGCCCAGACTTTGGTTGACTTATGAAAACAGCTGAAGATGGAGCTCTTCCAGAAGGCATTTGAGACCCTGTTTTTTGGATTTTGTGATTTGCATGTTTCAGGTTTGTATGATTTTAACTGGACCGTGGATATCTTAATATTCTTTGTATTCCTGTAAAGCTGACAAGACTCCCGTGGCAGCATATAAATGTAATAAAATAATAACATTCAGAAAACTGACAAAAGCAAACATCTCAAATGCAGTTATTATGAGTCTGCATGTGTTGTGCTAAGTGGAACTGTAATCTTGCACAAGCAACATACCCCCAAAAATGGAACTAGGAAATACATCAATGAATATCTAAAAGCATGATTTCAGTGGGCTGGAAATCCACTTGTTCCTAGCTGCCACTACAAAGAGATTTCTGTTGAAGACATTCTTGATCAGCAAGTTATGGCACAGATACATTCAAGTGGCAAATAAATACTTAATTTTGGATTGATTTTTTTATACCAAATTTACTTTTAAAAGGTCTTTTGGGATGGAGAGCATACACAAATGATACCATAATCCTTATTCACCGAAAAAAGTGAACTCCCATGCTCTTAAAGATGAAAACAGGTAGGGTGTTCAGTATGTGTTTGAATGGTTCCAACATTTTCCAAATGTTTATTTACTGATTCTCAAGTTTGAGAAACACTGACTTAAATGAATGTATCACTGAAATGTAAGCATGTATACTCATAAGTCCCATAAGAAATGGGACAAGAAATTCTCCCAAGTATAGAATTACAGCCTTAATCCCGTTGAAACCTTTATTTGGGCTGAAACTTTTATTTGAAGGCAATGTTAGTATTCACTACACCTATATACAAAATAGGATAAATATGTATACAATTCATCACTTGTTAGCAGTCCTGTGGGAAAAAATGCAATGTTCATGCAATAAACATTTACCTTTCTTTTTAAAAATAGAAAGTTCAGAACTGCTTCAGGTTGCTACTCACCAGTTCATATTTGAATTCTTATTTTGCAGGAATTTAAGTAAGCAATAAATATGGGTAGAAAAGGTTAACTTGTCTTTGGGACTTTTTATGGCTATATAGTAGTTAGTAAATAAATGTTTACTCTTAACAGATTTTAATTACTGTCTCAACTAATGAATAGTGGGGCACCCTCTAATACTATACATAATAGCAGTAAGGGGTGGTGGTGAGACGCATATGTTTTTCTTTTTGTCCTGATTTTGTTTGTAGGTTCCTTGCATCACTAATCTGCTTTTCCTTGTTACAAATGGTAAAGACAGTACAGGACATATAAGTGATCTTTTTTTGGTCTCTGTTGAACCTCTTCAGGGTTCTTGTAAAGAAAAAAGTGGGGGCAGCATTTGGCACCCTAATCTTTTTTTTTTTTAAAGACAGTGTGAAGATGAAACAAATAAGAGTTGAGTCTATTGAATTAACAACATAACAGAATGTCAACAGAAAATACCCTACAATGGACATATATTGAAGTTAAGAAACAGATTACCTTTAAACCAACTTGAAAATAAGTTTGGCTGAAAACACATTAGTATTTACTCCCAAGTGAGGGAGTAAAGGATTGC